CCTGGGAGACAGACTCTCAGAGAGCTCAGAGGAACTGCTCTCAAGACGTAAGGTAGGAGACAGTAGGTATATGAATTTTTGGCTGGGAAGTACGTGTAGTCAAGCATGCATCTTGGTAAAAGATTAGTGCTAATTATCGAAAAACAAATATCTCAAGTTAATGATTTTAGTGTTTTTCTATGTGTAGGAAGATGCACGAATCTGGGGTGACTGAAATTCTTTGTTCGATATGCATCCTAACTCTTTAAGGTCCCCCCTATGCAAAACACAGAATGTTTCATCCTGGTTTTCTTCATCCTGAATTCCCCTCAGGGCGCACTGTCAGCGGGTGACTGCAGTGGGTCGCAGCTTACTCCTTTCTAAAACCGATAATGAGGGAGACTCTTTTTACTATTCGTGGAAAAGACTTAAGATTTACATTCATTCTTGACAAATCCTTAAAAGAGGCTGTGAATTAGATTTTGGGTGAAGGAGGCTTTCTAACCATTTGAATTTAAAAAGGTCTCTTTTCCTTTATTTTTTCCCTTTGGTTTCAGGTTCTACCTTATTAAGTTAATCAGGCTCAGTCTCAGGTCATTGTGGGCTGTATTTACATTTCTGAAATGTGGGGATTCGAAAGACAAACATAGTTGCTTTTATTTTTTTGTTTTTAAAAAATATTTATTTATTTGGTTGCACCAGGTCTTAGTTGTGGCAGGTGGGCTCCTTAGTTGTGGCTCATGGGCTCCTTAGTTGTGGCATGCAAACTCTTAGTTGCAGCATGCATGTGGGATCTAATTCCCTGACCAGGGATTGAACCTGGGCCCCCTGCATTGGGAGCTTGGAGTCTTAACCACTGTACCACCAGGGAAGTCCCCACAGTTGCTTTTAATTCCCCAAAGAACTGGGCTGCCACCTAAATGATACCAAAAGATTGATTTGCCCAGCTACATTTTCTTTAATTTGTTTTCTTATATCAGAAGGAAAATTTCCAACTAAACTGGAAATCAAAAGATTTCCATATTCCAGAACTTTAGGGATCAGTGTATCATGCCTTCAGATGTTTGCAGAAGGTCCTCTTTCTGAGTGCACAAGTCAAACTCAGACCAATTTACCCTAGGGACAAACAAAGCAAAACAAACAAACAAAACCCCCAAACCAAACTCCATTATTGCTTTTGTTAGCCCCTGAATATTAGACCCCAGCTTTTACCTCATACTCTGTGGACTCATGTAACCCTATTGGTTTCCTTTATCATGTTTAATTAACATTGCCTGAGAGACAGATTATATACCCTGTCTTATACCAGGCAGGGGAGCATTCCCCAGTGAGACATATTGTACATCCCCACAATATATCAGGTAAAAGAGATGAACCATCTTACATAAAGCCTGTTCAAATACACCAATTTTTTGGGACTTCCCTTGTGGGGCAGTGGTTAAGAATCCGCTTGCCAATGCAGGGGACACTGGTTCGAGCCTTGGTCTGGGAAGATCCCACAGGCAGCGGAGCAGCTAAGCCTGTGCGCTGCAACTACTGAGCCTGTGCTCTAGAGCTCATGCTCCTCAACAAGAGAAGCCACCTCAATGAGAAGCCCGCATACCGCAACGAAGAATAGTCCCCACTTGCTGCAACTAGAGAAAGGTTGAGCGCAGCAACTAGAGAAAGGTTGAGCGCAGCAACAAGGACCCAATGCAGCCAAAAATAAATAAATAAATTTATTTAAAAAAACACAAATACACCAATTTTTAATAAACTTTCATCTCAATTCTATCAACTCTTATACCTTTAACTGTTGCCCTCATTAGGACCCTATTAACCAGTCTTGGTCTTATAAGGAGTCCCAGAAACTTTCCTTTTTATTCCCTGGCCATTTTACCCAATTCTGTATAAAAGGCTTTGGGGTCTCCAGTGAGGGGTTGAGCCAAGGGACCCAGGGCTTTTTGTCAATCTTTAACTTGATTGATTGGCATGTTGCCCCGAGCAATTGCTGGTCAAGTATCTGAATGTAATTTTTTTTACCTTTTTGCCTTTAAAATTTTTCTAAACTGGGGTAAATAGAGTGGACTTGTTTGGGGCCCTTTAACATTAGGAGGACCAATAAGGGGTCTTTTTGGCCTCTCCAAAACATCCTTTTTGGTAGTGTTGTATCAAAACCGTTGTTTTAATGCTGTCGAAGTCTGTTTCATTTATCCCATCTCTTAATAACCATCTAAAGATTTCCATCCTATAAACTAAGGGAGTTCTTAAGGTTAGCCATTATATTTCTTTGTATCCACCTTCTAGTTTGGTGTTTCCATAGATACCAATAAAACAACTGTTTACAATGAGAGGTCTCTAAAAATTTACCAATTTGGAAGTTTTTCCAATTTAAAGGATCAATTGTTAGGATTTTTAGTTGTGATTCAAACCAATAAGATGTAAGAGGCATCCCCAAAAGAGAGTGCAAAGGATGTAGCCTTCACCAGAACCAGAAAGTTTACTCCCAAATATAGTCTAAGAAAGTAAAGGCCTTTGTTGTACAGGGACACAAGGAAGGTTGAGACAACAAAGGCGCTTTATGGACTGGGACCACTTATGACACATTTCCCTGAAGCTGGCATAGCTGGACAAAAAGACTGCTTGGAATCCCAGTCTATGCAACTTTCTGCCAAATGTACACCATATGTGTACCTTCTCAATTGCAGAGACTAAGCTACCAAAAACACAGTAGAAGATGCCTAAGATCAGGTAGAATATTTATATCTCAAAGGCATGGGGAGATGATGCACGTTCCTCCTAGAAGGGCATTTGTTTCCTTAAGGTCAGAATTTTGGAAAAAAACAGTTTTAAAAACTTTTTGGCCAAAATAATCACAATTTTACCAAGGCTTTTGAATTATTGTTGCTTTCTGTGGGGAATCAATTTTGGTGTTACAAAAACGAAGTTGAGAGAGAGACAAATAGCATGAAGGAGAGCATTGCAGTGGACACTTAGAGGAGCGGGGAGGAGCAATGGAGAGCAGGTCCAGCTTCAGGGGCCTTTTAAAAATTCGGATATAATTTCAAGCCATTTTTTGTTGCTTTTCTGCAAGAAGTTACTTTCTCATTTCCTCTTTTAGAAGCTTCTAAATACCAATTGAAATGAGCATTCCATTCAGTCTGTTTGATCTTATAGCCTGCTTTCTCTAGCTGTATACACCCAAAAAACCCAGTATTGGAATGTCCAAAGAACCCCATTTTGGCCATTTTTAGGATGAGATCTCCTTTGGTATAGCTTCCCCAATTACGTATTTGCAAGTATAAGCTCCGTGTGTAATGTACCTAAACCTGGCTGTGGTGTTAGTCATAGGTTAGCAATCTGTCACCCTTCTTTCTTTTGTTTAGAAAGCTTTGTTTCCCATTTCAGAGTCTGTTTTTCAGGATAAATTACTATTGAAACTGTATGTGGTGGGCCAGTGTGTTGTTTTTGAGCTGAACTCTCCTAGTTGTCACCCTAGAGTCATTTCAGGTCTTTTACACGTCTCAGTTTCTCCCTCTGACAGTCTAAAGCCTCGATGGGCACTGGGAACACTGGATGGCCAAATCTTTTTGTGTGTCCCCAGCTGGGCCACTTTCTGTAAATTAAAGAATGGGTTTCCCTATGGGACTGCTGTGTGGTATAAAGGACTGGCCTCCACCACTCCTGCAAGTTTCTCAGTTGCCTGAGAAAGCCATACCTGGCCAGGAAGAGCTCTGTCCCTTATCTTTGGAGTTAAGAGCTCTTATATGGTATCTACACTATATTCCAACTAATTCTGTTAAAGTAGTCAATTCGAGGAAAGATGCCAACCAGCCCCTTACCTACTCACCCAGCCTGAACCTTCCCAGTGGCTCTCAACTGGGTACTTTCTCAGTATCTCTGAACTGAGAAGTCAGGTACCTTTTTCATCTGCCACTGAATAAAACTCAGGATTGTCAGCCAAGATGGTAAAACTGAGATCAGGAGAGACTCACCCAAATTCGTATGGACATGTAGAGAGGTGGACCGGCACAAGGGGCCTTGCTGGTACCAAGGCTCCAGATCCTTGTAAAGTTCCGGTGAGGGGAAGAAGTCTCCTCTGGGCCCCTTTGTGGCCACTAAAACTGTCCACTGGAAAGTAAAACCCACACAACGTAAGAGCAGTGGGTTTCCCTTTTTTGGGGGAACTTACTGAGGACTATGTCCCGGGAGACAGCCTCTCAGATAGCTCTGAGGAACTGCTCTCAAGAAGTAGGGGAGGAGGTTTGGGAAATAAGAATAATCAACTGTAAGTCTTGGTAAAAGATCACTGCTAATCACCAAAAAACAGGTATCTCAGGTTAGTGATTTTAGTGCTTTTCTGTGGATGGAGAGGTGCACACATCTGAGGTGATTGTAGTTTTTCCTTAGTTATTCATCTTAACTATCTAGGGGCCAGGTATCTGAAATACAGAATGTTTCATCTTGGTTTTTTCCGTCCTGAATACCCCTCCAGGCACACTGTTGGTGAGCAACTGCCCTGAGTGGTGACTTAACTCTTTGTATAAGTGGATGATGAATGAACCTTGTTCTTTTTGTTTTCAGCTGCGAGGAAGGGAGTGCAGCAGAAAGAGCTCAGAATGGAGAGTGAGAGCGAGCCAGGCTGCATTCTAGACCTATTATTTATGAGCTGTGTGACCAGGAGGGAGGTGCTTATCCTCTGTGTGCCTCAGTTTCCCTTCTGATAAATGGTGACAGTAGAACCTATCTTGTCAGGTAGCTGTGTAGAGATTCTAAACCTATATTATCATCTCTAGTGGATATACAGCACCTTATACAGGGTAGAGTCTCCATATGTGATAAGTCTTATTAAGAAATCAAATGAATTACGGGAAATTGGAAGAGTCAACTTTCCAGAGCTGAGCATCCCAAAAGACTGTCTATTGCCCCAACATTTGACCCCACATGGAAGGGCTGTACCAGGGTACCAAACTTGGGGAGAGCTGCATGAGCCCCAGTGGGGCAGCAGACCTGAGGCCTGGCCTTCTTTTTCCCACCCTTAGGGCTTGAAGAAGATCTCTGCCTACATGAAGTCCAGTTGCTTCCTCCCAGGCCCTCTGTTTCTAAAGACTGCCATGTGGGGCAACAAATACTGCCCTGTAACCAGGAGACGGGAGTGAGGAGCCATTGTCCTGGAGACCAGGTGGACCTCCCTGTGCACAGAACCATCTGTCTTTTTCTTTCTCCTTCTTTTCACTCTAGATGCCGTCTTGGCCCCCTTTATCTCCCTCCCAACCCCCTTTTCATCCATCCTTTATTCAGTTCCCCACTCTTCTTCAGCAAAGTTCCTCCCCCACCCCACATTATCCCTCCTGCACTAAAGCCAACTAGACTATCCTTCCTTTCCATGGTTGCTTCTGCTGTGAGGAGCCCGACCAGACCCCTGGCCCACAGAGCTCTGCTCTGAGCTCCCACCACTGCCCTGAAGATCAGAATTGGCCTGGTGTGCAGGTGCAGGCCCTGCCTCCCAGTGTGGTTCCTGCCCAGCCCTGTCTGATCCCCAGTAAAGCCTTAATGATACCTGCTGTGTCTTGTCTTATGCCCTCCTGGCTTCCTGGAGTCACGACTGACTGTTGGGTGTGTGTGGGTGTCCATTTTTCCTTCTGTTGTCCACTGCAGAGGCTCCGTGGATGGGCATGCATGTGTGTGTGTGGTGGGGGGTTGGGGACAGGTGGGATTATACTATTGCTTGCTCCTTTCTATTTCTACTTCATGTACCTCTGTTCTTTAGCATGGGGTCTTTACAGAAGGGGGGCCCTTCTGTGCCTGGTTCCCTCCTTAATTCAGCATTCATGGGAAGCCTCCTGTCAGCTTGTGGTACTCTGTGTCATGGCTCAGGGGGCTCTTGGGTGGGCTGGGGAAGGGGTTTGAGGACTCTACTGATAGTGTGGGATCCTGGTGGCCTACCTTCTGTCACCCTTTCCTGGAGGCTGTCCCTGCTTTAGATACCCTTCATCTGTGTTCTTATATCTCAATAAAACATACCCCCACTGTATTATAATTGTTGTTTTACTTGTTTTGCTCTCCAACTCAACCATAAAGTCATTGAGGAGAGAATCCATGTCTTATTTGACTTTATACTTATATCTATCATACTGCCTGGTGCACAATAAACATGTAATGAAATTTGGAAATTTGGAAAAAGAATTATCTCTAGTTAAAGCCCTGGCGAACTCTACAGCCACTATATGGATTTAGAGCCTTGGATATAGTTATCTCAGCCATCTGAGATAAAGAATACATTTCAGAAGGTTTAAAATCTGCAGGTCTGGGGGAAAGCCATTAGCTCTCTCTAACTTAAGCATTTAGTAGGCTGTAGCTGCCCCTTGGACGTCTTGATCTGAAATGGGCAGGCCTAGTGGGCTGGGTCAAGTGTAGCCACTCCGTGCAGTCAGGAGGTCGCGTGGCCATTTTATGTTAGGACACCTGCAAAGTGTAGGGCTCTTTAGAGTACCACCTTATTAGCAGGTTCCTCAAGCAGTGGCTGGACAGTGGAGTTGGGCCATCTTAAGGCACGGCCTCAAGTCTTAGCTCAAAACAGGGAGTAGCTTTAGAGAAGTATCCTGTTGAACATTTGTCCAGATGACCATTTCTTGCAGTTATTACATAAACAGCAGTAAAAATAATGTTAAAGGTCTTTAAGAATTAAGTGATTAAAGATAAAAGTGGTATGCTAAAACAAAGTCCAGTAAAGGAGAGCAGCCAAGATGGTGGAGTAGTAAGACTCTGAGTTCACCCTCTCTCATGAGCACACCAAAATCACAACTCTGCAGAAGAACCCATCAATCAAAGAGACTGGGACCTACCAGGAAAGATCTCCTATAACTAAAAGACACAAAGAAGGAACCACAGCAAGATGGGTAAGGGGGGAGGACTCCCGATATAATGAGATCCCATACCCTCTATGTGGATGACCCTTTTTTTTTTTCTACCAATACCAATACAATTTTATTGGAATATGGAATGTGAACAGATGTTTTCAAACAAACACTCTAACCTTATACAAATGTATGGCATTATTAAATAGTTAATAAAGATCCTAAAATGTGACACAGTGGTAGACACTTTGAGCTCTAGCTCACCTAGCTGAGGTGTGTGAGGTCCCCAGAGCTGTGGCATGGCTCTGTAGCTGGGGTCAGGGAACTGCTTGCAAACCACGAGTGAGAGTTCTGAGCCCTGCATCAGGCTCCCCAGTCTGGGGGTTCAGCACTGGGAAGATGAGCCCCCAGAGCACCTGGCTTTGAAGGCCAGTGGGGATTAACTGAAGGGGGAAAGAGATTTCACTCTTAAAGGGTGCACATGAACTGGAGGGACCCCCCTGAAGTGCTGGCCTCAGCCAACTAAAGAGTTCGGGACCTGCACTATCACAGGCACCGAGCACCCTTAGACCAGAACGAGGGGCACAGTTAGGAGGTGGGCTGTGCTGTGTCAAGGGGCTCAGCTGCACTACAAGAAGTTCTTGGCTTACCCCTGGATCCTGACCATCATGTGGCTGGAGAAATTGGGCATGTGGATGAGGCAAAAGGCTGACTGGCAGCAGGTAAAGTTGCTGCTGTGATCTCCTTCTGGTCGACCGTCCCTACTCAGCAGAGACCAGAGCTGCCCTTCATCTTTCAGCCCTGCTGCCCCCTGTGTTTTCTCAACACCACAGAAAGACAAGAAAGGCCTGAGCCTGTCAGAACCAAGGAAGCTGATAAGAGGGCAAACAGAGACCTCGGTGATCTCTGAGAATCAGTGAAAGGTGACACGGTGTGAAAATTTCACCTCTTTTGAAAGGAATCTCAAGAAAGAAATACAGAGCAGAAGCAAGAAGAGCTACAGTCCTGCAGCCTGTGGAATGGAAACCACAATCACGCAAAGTTAGACAAAATGAAATGGCAGAGGAATATGTCCCAGATGAAGGAACAAGATAAAACCCCAGAAAAACGACTAAGTGACGTAGAGATAGGCAACCTTCTGGAAAAAGAATTCAGAATAATGACAGTGAAGATGATCCAGGATCTCAGAAAAAGAATGGAGGCAAGGATCGAGAAGCTGCAAGAAATGTTTAACAAAGACCTAGAAGAATTAAAGGGTGCACACAAAATATCACACATACTGGGATCCAGAGCAAATGCAGTAATTTGATAGGATCCTGAGTCAGACCTACCTGTGGGTCTTGTAGAGCCTCCTGGGGGGGGGGGTGGCTGTGGCTTACCCTGGGGACACAGATACTAGTGGCAGACATATTTAGGAACATTCAACCAAAGTAAACACTCCTGTTGGTTGCTGCCATCTTAGCTCAGTAGTACCAAGCCCTGGCCCCCCACCAACAGCCTGTAGGCACCAGTGCTGGGATGCCTCAGTCCAAACAACTAACTAAGCAGGGGCAGTGTTCTGTCCATCAGCAGACAGGCTTCCTAAAGACTCCTGAACCCATAGCCACCTCTAGACACGCCCCTAGACGTGGCCCTGCCCAGCAGAAGGCCAAGACTCAGCTCCATCCACCAGTGGGCAGGCACCAGCCCTTCCTGCCAGGAAGTCTGCACTAGCCCCTAGAACAGCTCCATCTATCAGGGGGTAGACACCAGAATCAAGAAAACTATGATCTTGCATCCTGCACAGAGTCCACCAATAGCAGCCCATACCCTACCTTGGGACCAGCTGGGCCCTGGCCCTGCCCACTAGCTGGCCAATGCAACCTTCAGGACACTCTGGACCCCATACCCAACTGTATCAGGAACTGCTCCCACCTCCACCCCAATGATCTGAAATGAGGTCTTGGACCCCTGGGCCCTGCAGGCAGACTCCAGGAACCAGCTCTGCCTGCCAGTAGTATGGTACTAACCCCAGGATCTGGCAACAGCCCTGGAGTCTTCAGAAACTTGGCTCTATCAACCAGTGAGACAGCACTAGCTCCTTGGCCCCTAGGCTTCTGTAACCAGCTGCCTCATGGCCAGGCTCTGCTAAACTGCAGTTGGAGCATCTGCATAAGGCAGGACCTGGCAACAAGCAAGCCTACCAGACCACCCACATAGCCTGACACAACAAAAGGACCCATGCAGCCCTCTTAGGGGGAACCCCTAGAGCATATAGCTTGGATGATGAGAGGGGAGTGCACTGCTGGGATGCATAGGACATCTCCTGCAGAAGGCCACTTCTCCAAGTTTGAGAAATGTAACTAACCTACCACATACATAAAAACACAAAGAGCAACTTAGACAAAATGAGGTGACACAGGGATATGTTACAGATGGAAGAATGAGATAAAACCTCAGAAGAACTAAGTAAAGATATCATTCTCTCCAGGAGGAGAATGGATGTACAGAGTGAGAAGTTAGAATTTGTTAACAAAGAGTTAGAAAATATAAAGGACAACCAAACAGAGACGAAGAATACCATAACTGAAATGAAAAATACACTAGAAGGAATCAATAGTAGTCTAAATGATACAGAAGAATGGATCAGTGAGCTGGAAGACAGAGTAGTGTAAATCACTGCCACTGAACACAAAAAAAGAAAGAAAGGAAATGAGGACAGTTTAAGAGACCTCTGGGACAACATCAAGCACACTAATATGTGCATTATAGGGGACCCAGAAGGAGAAGAGAGAGAGAGAAAGGACCTGAGAAAATATTTGAAGAGATAATAGCTGAAAACTTCCCTAACCTGGGAAAGGAAACATTCACCCAAGTCCAGGAAGCACAGGGAGTCCCATACAGGATTAAGCCAAAGACAAACATGCCAAGACACACTGTAATCAAAATGACAAAAATTAAAGATAAAGAGGGAATATTAAAAGCAGCAAGAGTAAAACTAACAGGTAACATGCAAGGGAACTCCCATAAGCCTATCAGCTGATTTTTCAGCAGAAACTCTGCAGGCCAGAGGGAGTAGAATGATATATTTAAACTGATGAAAGGGAAAAACCTACAACCAAAAATACTCTACCCGGCAAGGCTCTTGTTCAGATTTGATGGAGAAATAAAAAGCTTTAAGACAAGCAAAAGCTAAAAGAATTCAGCACCACCAAACCAGCTTTACAACAATTATTAAAGGAAACTTCTCTAGGTGAAAAAAGAAAGGCCACAAATAGAAACATGAAAATTATGAAGTGAAAAAGCTCACTGATAAAGGCAAACATACAGTAAAGGTAGGAAATCATCCACACACAAGGCTAGTAGGGAGGTTAAAGACAAAAATAATAAAATCATTTGTATCCAAAATAAGCAGTTAAGAGATACACAAAACAATTAGATGTAAAATATATGATATTGAAAACAGTAATTGTGAGGGGAGGAGAGTAAAATGCAGGGGTTTTTTCTACTAAACATTTATAGAAGACTTAACACCTATCCTTCTGAAACTATTCCAAAAAATTGCAGAGGAAGGAACACTTCTGAACTCTTTCTATGAGGCCACCATCACCCTGATGCCAAAACCAAAAAATCACAAAAAAAGAAAATAACAGGCTAATATCACTGATGAACATAGATGCAAAAATTCTCAATAAAACACTATCAATCTGAATCCAATAATACATTAAAAGGGTCACACACCATGAAAAAGTGGGATTTACCCCAGGGATACAAGGATTTTTCAATACCTGCAAATCAATTAATGTGATACACCACAGTAACTAACTGAAGGCCATATGACCATCTCAATAGATGAAGAAAAAGCTTTTGATAAAATTCAACATCCATTTATGGTAAAAATTCTCCAGAAAGTGGGCACAGAGGGAATATACCCCAATATAATAAAGGCCATATATGACAAACCCACAGCTAACATCATACTCACTGATGAAAAGCTGAAAGCATACCCTCTAAGATCAGGAACAAGACAAGGATGCCCACTCTTGCCACTTTTATTCAACATAGTTTTGGAAGTCCTAACCACAGCAATCAGACAAGAAAAAGAAATAAAAGGAATCCAAATTGGAAAGGAAGTAAAACTTTCACTGTTTGCAGATTACATGATACTATACATAGAAAATCCTAAAGACACCACCAGAAAGCTAGTAGGGCTCATCAATGAATTTGGTAAAGCTGCAGGATACAAAATTCATACACAGAAATTGCTTGCATTTCTATACACTAACAACAATCAGAAAGAGAAATTAAGGAAACAATCTCACTTACCATCACAGAGAAGAGAATAAAATACCTAGGAATAAACCTGCCTAAGGAGGCAAAAGACCTGGACTCCAAAAACTATAAGACACTGATGAAAGAAACTGAAGATGACACAAATGGATGGAAAGATATGCCATGTTCTTGGATTGGAAGAATCAATACTGTTAAAATGATCATACTACCCATGGCAATCTACAGATTCAATGCAATCTCTATCAAATAATCAAGGGCACGTTGCACAGAACTGGAACAAAAAAATTTTAAATTGGTATGGAAACACAAAAGACCCCAAAAA